TCAATAGACATCGCAAATGTGCTCTTCTTCCTTGTGCGAGTTGATAAGAGAGACAAAATTTCCGTCTTCATCTCCTCTAATCACTTAATGGTTACGGCATGTAACAACAACCATATTATTCTTATTATTGCCGTACATGAGAATCAATTTGTATGAAGATTTGTAATATTTTATGTGGAAATAAAAGGGGAAAATGGAAAGTATGCAAAATAAAAGAATGTTGAAACCATAATAAGCTCAAGCATTTTACATTCTTTGGACATTTTTTTCAAGGATTGCGTTGCTGATGTCTGGCTGTCTGGCTATCGATCTAGTTTATCCAGCGATCCATAATTTTTTACCAGTTCATTCTAGATGATGTCTTGTTATTTTTAAACAATTTTGTTGATATTCTTTTAGGTCAAGCTGAGTGTCTTTAGATCAAATGACTGTCTTTAAGTGGGTCGGACTATCAGTTCATGCATCCATCCATTTATCTCTCTATTCCTTGGCCTTTCTGTATGTCTAACAATCACTTCCAGTGCCAACATAACAAATATATGATTTGAAGTCAGCATCATCACAACTTGAGGCCACTTTTACGATCACGAAAAATGCGCTTTTTCCCACAAACCCAAAAACTTTGTTACTTGTTTCCCATATTTGTAACCAGCAAGCAATACAATCCACATATACATAACATTCACATAACCATAGAATTTGAACATTTTTTATTGCAAATTTCTTTCCTTCACAGGAGTATAAAATAAAAATCCAGCATGTTGATAAGGGGATGGCTGTGAGGAGGGTGCGATCAAAAAAATATAAATACTGGCTGTGATGCTTGTACTACTTATATATTTATTTATTTTTTTTTTGCAAAAGCGTTTCAAATTGAATTTAAATAGGACTTAATTTAATGATCTCCTCTTTTTTTTTGCAAACATTTAACGACTAAAAGTATTTTTTTTTGGTGGATGTCTTGCTGTATGGAAATTCAAATAGATGTTTTTTGTTGGTTTCGTAGAAAGAACAATTCGCAATAAATGATAATGAGGGGAATTTGAAATCCTTTTATTTTTCTCTGGCTAAGTACTTATTTGCGAAAAATATTTAATTTAATTTTGTATGTTTTAATGCTAGTAGTGTAAATTTGCACAAATGAAGGTGCAGAGATGATTAATTATGCAGGAAAGAGGATGTTCATTTAGTGTTTGTAAGGCAGAGTGTGTTTTTAAGCTACTGAGAAAATACTGTATTGATTGTTAAACAAAGTTGTGCAGTTAATTAATAAAATTTGAACTAGTAGATTTAGAAGTTAAAATTATCACAAGTTGTTCGAATTCTAAGGCAATTTATCTTCACAATAGATTGATTCATAGAGAATTATTGGCAATAAAAACCAGAGCTCGAAGTCGATGAAATTTTGTATAAAGTCGAGTCGACTCGATGTCGACCTCGCCATACAAAATCGATGAAAATCTCGAATCGATTTTAAACTCTGATAAAAACTCATGTTATCCTTACTGGAACTGATCAAAATTATTCAAAACGATCAAAATCCGATTTATCAATTCTACACTCTTACTCCTTAAATGCAATTGAGACGTAGTTGCTATTTAATAATAGCTAGTAATGGACAGCTAGTAATAGAATACTAGGAATAAAAAGCTAGTTTGAAAAATATTTTGATAAATTGTCAATGCTTGGTGGGATTTGAACTTCTCTTTCGAAGAAGGATAATTTTCAGTTTATTAAGTTTCGAACTTAAGTACGCTGAGTTGCACTATTCTTTTTATAAAAAACTATAATACTTAATCTGTGCTCTATCATTTCATTAAACTTCCTCTTAATCAAGTAAGCCATTTTCGTTAATATTCTGTAAAATCATGAAATTCACACACTAACTTAGTATGTAAAGATTGGAACTGAACAAAAAATCCTAATATAATAAATTCATTCACAAAAACTTATGTCACTTAATCACAATGATTCAGAATCGAAAAAAATGTTCAAAAATTCAAAAATTTCATGTTAATTAAACTATGTCCTTTAAATGCCAGATTAAAGATCTTAACTTGAGGCATATCCTATGAAAATATCTCGTCCCAATTTGATGTCTAACTCCAGAAATCATTAATTTAATCTCACCCAAAATTTGTTTACAATTTGTGTATGAAAAAAAAAATATGATTTTTTCTACTTTAAGTTGTTATTTGGATGTCTTGGAAGCAGTTACTAGCTAATTTAAGCTTAGCTTTACATACTAAAACAACCAACTCAATAGAAATCTGCGTATTAAGCCTTAAAAATGGAATTGAAATCTGAGTATTTTTACACTACTTAAACTATTCATAAGTTAAAAAGTCTTCCAAAGACCTCTCTGAAACCTATATAAATCCATTAATTAAGTTAAAATCTATCTCCCATATTACTGAGGACATGCCGTTTGATGCCGTTTTCGAGATATTTGCGATCAAAGTTTACATAAATTTTCATACAAAATTTGATCATGCACAATATTTTTTGATAAACTTTTACAAACTTTTGGTAAAAAATCATGTTTATCCTTTATATTAGGGACTAATTTTTTGAGCAATGAACGAAAACATTATGTAGATGATGCTAAAAGATTCAAATCAAGAGAAATTAACAAAAACTTTCAATTTTCTAATGTGTTGGAAAAATATTGTGCACAATGAATTTTTGAACATTTTTTCCGAATCTGAATCATTGTGTTAATAACTCTCATTAATTTATGAACATAGAAATTTCTAGAAATCTACAAAATGTTTATCAACAACATACAATTGACAAGATATTGACCTTTAATCATTGAAATTCCTTATTACTCTCTTCAATTTCTTTCATTATCAACCGAACAGAAAAAAAAAAGTTTTTTGTTTATTTTGATTGCATGCAATCTGAAAGAAAGTAAACATACACAATGTGAGTGGAAATAAAGAAATATAAAATTAATTTAAATGGAAAAAAAATTTTGAGAGTAGAAATCAGCTGTGATATGATCAAAAAGAACTGTCTACGAGTAACGTGAATGATAAAAGCAAGTGAATGAGTAAAAAAATATATGTCATGTGTGAGTAGGATGAAAAAAAAAAGATTCTCATATGTTTCATATCAAAAATTATGACGTAGAAGTAAATTCATTGAGACGTGCATGAAAATAAGAGCATAAAGTAATCTTTTATTTTATAAATAGGAAGTTTAATATTTCAATTAATGGCGGTGCTTTGATGGAACTTTTTTTTTGTTGATTCACCTTTTAAAGCATTAGCATTGAAAGATTTTCTCGTGTGAGGCTTTTGACTTATAAAATTCATTTCCAGATTTGTCGAAAAGTTTTATGATGGTTGAATTGCATGGCTGTAAAATAATATAATCAGATAAGAAGCTAGAGTAATTTGTAGCACTTTTTAATACTTTCTGAGAAGGATCTTAAAGCTGCGTCATAGCTTGATACATTATTTTTGATTTTATTTTGAATTATCAGCTATTTTAGTTGCCATATTTTAGGGGGATATGCTTAAGATTTTATGACATGAAAATACCGATAGTAAGGTCGTCACCCAATAGGACGAATGTAAGCCCGAATAGCACAAGTCGAAAAATCGAATAGAAATCCGGCACCAAGCTGCCATGACTTTGGAATGGTGCAGGCTACGATTCAAATACAGCACCATCAGAGTTACGCCGGCTTAGTACCAAATTATTGGTCGATTACCCAACTTGTGCAATTCGAGTAGGTACTTTTGGTAATTTCATATTTGTATTTACTTAAGCTAGCAGCACAATACATTTCCAAACAATTGCACGACTATAATGTGCCATTCAAATTTGTCTACAGTTGAGTTTCATGACTCAAGAGAAAGACCGAAGAACTCTTGGATTGGTTGTGTTGAAAAGGACGCTAGAAACCTGAATATCCCGAACTGGCAGAAGGTGTCTAAAGATTGAGCTGTCTTTAGACGTTCTCAAAGCTCAGCAATGGGTCCACATGAGCCCCAGCCAAGAAAGTAAGAAGTATGTAAGAGTTTAATAACTAGCCAACTTAATCTGAGATCTAACCTATAGGTTGGCTTCTGAGGTATCTAGGGAGACCTGACTAAAGTTTTGCATGATTTAAAGGATGTAAGCAAATCATCTCTGATTCTTAAGTATCCTTAGCTTGCCATAAGTTGCTTAAAAACCAGTTTAAACTCTAAACACATAGATTTGGTCATTTTGCTGTACCTTAACTTATTGCTTATTCCTGCCTTAACTTACTGTCTATTGCTGCCTTAACTAATTGCTTACTGCAGCCATTGTTTGACCTAAATGATCGAATTACTTCATATAAAATGTTTGATACCACGATTTGTCATCCACTACACCAACTTTTAAGAACCCAAAGATTTCGTAATATTGACTACAATCACTCCAAATCATAAAAATTATTACATCCATAAAAGTAAGTTATATCCCACAAGGTCATTTTTAATATTCCTCGTAATTGTCTTTGATCAATCTTCGCCCTCCCACAACATTCACTTAAAAGCACACGATAAAATCTCTCATTTATATGCTTATCTCTATGAGAATATTCACGTTAAGTTCTCAGTTTAGTTACTTTAGACCCGTCTATCGATGCACACTGACCGGTGATTTGTGTGTGACATTCTAATCTTTTATGTTTAGTTAATAAATTACAATTCATGCTGATAAAGTGCATTATTTGGACTAGAAAGAGACTATAAGAATTTCTGAAGATTCCTGTTTATTCCTTTTTACAGCTTTAAGACAACAATCGTAAACATTTTATTTAAATCTTCTGTTTTTGCTTATCATTATGATAAATTCAATTTAATATTTACACAATGACAAGAATGAAGCATTTCAAAAAGTGATAATATAAGAGCATATGCTCAGCACTTCACTTTAGTCGACTTAGGTCGGTGCTCGTGTAGACAAGTAAAAGTGCAAGTTGGACAATTAATAGTGAAATAAAAAAGAAAGCTTTAAAAATGTCTGAAAAAAATGGAAAATTTCCAGAAAAGGCTTTGGATCCATTGCTGAAGCCTTTTGAATTTTCTGATAAAATGCTCGAAGATGATTTTGAAGAAGTTTATAGAAAATATCCTTTAAATGATGACACAAGCTGCGGAATTGGATTTCTACGTGGATCAGTGATGCAAAAGTAATGAAAATTGATGACTTTTTGGGATTTTAAGTTATGCATTTGTGATGCTTTTTAGTGGAATAAATTGGATGTTGTTTAAAAATGAAAATTAGTTGTCAATATGTGAAAATCTTGCAACCAGGAAGCAATGTACTCAAACTACTAAATTTTCAAATTTTCCTTAATTTTTAAATTTAAAAAATAATTTTAAATTTTTTAAAAAAAAATGTCACAATCAAATTTAAAAGCCACAACATCCAATTGAAAGATTCTCTCTTTCCTTTTAAAAAACACAAAAGCATGCGACAACTCACGACGTAGAATATGACCAAGTAACATAATTGAATAATTCACTCACGCAAATTTCTAAAGATTTGAATAATTCAGAAGATGAGATGAAGTAATAAGAGCAATAAATCACTAAATGCAATTTGTCGCTGGAATATGTTGTGCAATTGAGAACAGCTGTAATTTTATTGCGGAATCAAAACAAAAATTTACTTATACTTATTGGTGCTTGAGATTATGAAATGAAGGAAGAGCAATGATATTTTTATTAAGTGTTGAAAGATGATGGATGTGCTTTAAAAGTGTTTTTTGTGGGATGTAGCCAGTGATGCAGACATTTTTGTTGTCTAGAGGGATCGTTCACTTATGACGTCCGTAATTAACGGTTAATCTCAAAAAAACAATGGATATCCAGAAATTTTTATTGTTCTTTTCTTGTTGAACCCCCCCTCCTGGACGTTATAAGTGAACGGCTCCAGATGTCTTTAGATGTCCTTTCAAAGAAAATTCGCTTATCTTTATTAAAGACTAAAGAATAATGAACCTGAACTTTTTTTCTTAGAAAATTACAATTATCTTTTCCGTTTGCTGATCAAGTTCTACTTAAGTGCAATTCAAATAAGCCTAGACGGATGGCTACTGAAATGATATATATGAATGTGATATTGACATTTTAATTAAGTTCAATGCAACCTGAAAATGAAATGAGCTAAGATAAGTTAATTAAGCGGGATAAAAATGTACAAACTAAGGTTTTTGAAAATTGCATTGAATTGTGAGGTTTTGTAGTGAACTTACGATGCGTATTAGATTGTATTAGGTTTTTGATGCTTCGTTTAAAATTATAAGATTGTAAAAATCTCACGAAAAGAATATAGAGCATGCATAATTTACTAACAATACAAAGGTAGGGTAGGGGGTGTATATTTTTGAATGAACGGTGAAAAATTAAGGAGCCTTAGAGAACTAGTCTTAAAGAACTATAGAAAATTAAAGTGACAATGATTGGCATGACTCCAAAATCATCTCATAGCCTAACCCTCGATTAAAATGTTTCCTAACATTTCTATACCCCCCCCCCCCCCCCCTCAGAAAATTCACACGTATACACTCGAAAAAAAGGTTGGATTTTCTGGGAATTAATCCCAAAAATCCCGAGTGTATAAGCCTTGTTAAATTACTAAATTTTTATTATTTTTAAAAAATTCTTCCACATTTCAGACTCGCTAATAAGAAGATGTATGTGTAAGTATCAGTTCCAACTCTACAAATGCACCCTTATTTACCTTAATCATTCATTTGAATATTTCTTCTCACTTATTTCCAATAAAAATAAATAAAATCACAGCATTCTCTACGGCATCGCAGGATCAGTATTTTCTGCAACTTACTCCTACTTTACTGCCACAATCACAACGATAGAAAAGCGTTATAAAATCCCATCAAAAAATACCGGAGTTATTTCAGTCGGAAATGATATAAGTAGCTTGTTTGTGTCAGCAATCATGGCATATTATGCAGGAAAAGGTCATCGACCTCGATGGGTTGGCTTTGGGCTGCTCACAATTTCATTATTTTGTATGATAAACACGATACCGCACGCTTTGTATGGACCTGGTGAGCAGGCACTGATGCTGACGAAGGAATATGGTGGAATGGAGAATGACACAGCGACACAGGAGATTCTTGAGAGGGAGAGGAGGAAGTACTTGTGTAATACGAACAGTAAATACGAACACAAATCTAGCATTGACTTTTGAATTAATTTCCATACTTTGTCCTTCGTAGAAACTTCCGGAATAGCTGAATGTGACACTGGTGAGGACAATTGGATGCCTCAGGTGATCTTGTTCCTTGGACAGCTATGTGCTGGTATAGGTCAAAGTATATACTTCTCAATTGGAGTTGCTTATATGGATGACAATATCAAGAAGTCAAAAACTCCAGCACTGATAAGTGAGTTTTATTGCTGTCGAATTGCTGTGCAATTATCATAAAAGACATGCGCTAACTTTTTTATGATTTTATTGTCAGGTTTATCTTACTTCTTGCGTTTACTAGGACCAGGTTAGACAATATTGATGGAAGCTTTTTTGACAATGTAATCAAAAAAATTTTATTTTAGCTGGTGGATATGCTCTTGCGTCATTCTGCCTTAAAATCTACATTGCACCTGACTTAACACCAACAATTGACAACAATGATCCAAGATGGTTGGGTGCTTGGTGGATGGGATGGATTGTACTGGCTATTTTAATGTTCATCTTTTCATTCGTCATGTGCATGTTTCCAAAGGAACTTCCGAGAGCTGCGCTGCGTCGAAAACTTGCAATTGAAAGGAAGAAAAGAGGAATGAAAAGTTTAGATGACAAAGAAATTCATGATGAAGTTCCAGCATCACTTAGTGATATGTTTGTTACATTTAAGAGGTTGCTGAAGAATGCGACTTATATGTTGAATAATATATCATCGATATTTTATTATTTTGGGTAAGTTTGACTGTAATCGAGGTAAAGGGTGGTTCATAAAAGACGTCCAACAAAAAACACATTCTTCTAACACATTTGCAACATTTCAGATTCATGCCATATTGGATATTCACACCAAAGTACATTGAGACTCAATACAAACAGTCAGCATCAACATCTAGGTAAGTGAACATTTATTTTCTATAAAACTCATTTTATAACATCCTTTACCTTAACAGTCTTGTCACAGGAGCAGTTGGAATAGCATTTTCAGCCATTGGTATATTAGCATCAGGACTAGTCATCTCAAAGTTCAAGCCAAAAGCTAGAAGTCTTGCCATCTGGAATGTTTTTGTTGGATCACTTTCAGTCATTGGCATTTTAGCTTACACACAGCTTGGATGTGCTGAAAATGAAAATTCTGTTGTGCTTAATGCTCCTCTACCGTGAGTATCTAATTCTAATTTTTAAAGTGACTTACTATCCTTAATATAATCCTCAGAGACATGCTCGATCCAACATGCAACTCAAATTGTAACTGCGACTATGTCAAATACTCACCAGTTTGTGGTGCCGATAATAAAATTTACATCAGTCCGTGTCATGCAGGATGTAAATCATATCATAAAGATAATGGCACAAAAGTAATAATTTTTGTTGAAATTTTATGAGAATTTTGTAATTTTGATGAAATGTTTTTCAGTTCTTCACAGACTGCTCGTGCATTGACAGAACATTTGGATATGATTTTGAGAATTTCTCATTACCGATTAGTGTCACAGAAGAGTATGATGAGACATTGAGTAATAGATTTGATAGAGCTAATGTAAGTGTTATTATAGATTTTATAGGTCCCTGACTTTGAACATAGTTCTTATAAGTCACTAGCTGTAAATCTCAGAATTTCTAAATTTGAGTTTTGATTTTTAGGATTACATATTCGGAGGGACAGTAAAGGACAAAGCATGTCCAATAAATTGCCAAAAAGAGTTCATCATGTTCCTCGCAGTCATGTGCTTCCTCAAATTCTCTGAAGCAACAGGAAGAGCGAGTAACTTCCTTGTAGGTGTAAGATGTATTGAGGAACGAGACAAAACTGTTGCAATGGGTTTTGGCTTAGCTTTTATGTGCTTATTCTCATTTATGCCTAGTCCAATTTTCTTCGGTGCTTTGCACGACATGATGTGTATAGTTTGGGGAAAAACATGTTCTGGAACTGGAAATTGTTGGCTGTATGACACTGAGATGCTGAGGTAAGAATCATATTTTAATGAAATTGACAATTTTTCATTTTTATAAAAATTTTAGGTACTGGATGAACTACATTGCATGTGGCTTTGTGTTCTTTGGAGTGGTTTTTGATGCTGCAGTGTGGTACTGCGTGAAAGACTTAAAGATCTTTGATGAAGAAGTTAAGAATGAAGAAATGGAAATTGCTGCTAAAGAAGAGGAAATTCAAGTTGATAAGGCATTTACCTAAAAGGAGACTTTTTTATTTGTTGTTACTCATTTAAGAACTGAAGGAATTTAAATAAATTTTCAGTACAAATTTAAAAATTGTTAGAAAAAATTGATAGTTTTATTCGTTTTATTGAAAGACGTGAATGAGAGGGGGGGAGGGGGGGGGGGGGTCATTGATTTGTTTCATATGCAGTTATGAAGTCATTCATTTAGACAAGGAAATCTTTAAAAAATTTATAAATTTTTTTAAATGGGTCTGAAAATTAAATTAATTAAAATCATGATTAGGGGCCATTCACTTATGACGTCCGTCAAAAACATGATTTTTTGAACCCTCTCTTAAATAATTTATATGAAAAATTCCTATGTTTGAGTTGTCACCAAATCCCAGACCCCCCTCCACCCTAAATCTCGGACGTCATAAGTGAACGCCCTGCCCTCTTAGCAAGTACATTAATCATCTGCCTGACTACACATTTTTTTCAACCATTCTCTTTTGCTCCAACTCTTGATTCTATAATTAATTTATTTTTTTCTTCTTAATTTGAGAAGAGATGAATATTTAAATGAAGTCAATCTTCTCATCATCAAGTGTGAGCATCTGAGAGGATAAGCTCATTAACTCTGTTTAGTTGACTTAGGTCGGTGCTCGGATCAACATGTGATTATTATTTATTTTTAAACTGCGAAAAATATTGAAATTATTTAAAGAAAAAATGTTTAAAGAAAATGAAGACAAAAGTTTCTCAAAAAATTACTCAGATCTGGTATCAAAACCTGGATTTGAGATAACTGATAAGATGCTGGAAGATGATTTTGAAGAAGTTTATAAAAATTATCCCATCAATGAAGATACTACCTGTGGATTTGGATTTATCCGAGGATCATTTCTGCAAATGTAAATTTTGAACATTAAATTAAAATCACAATTTTTTGTCAAATTATAAAAAAAAATTCGCTCAAAATCACATCAAAGCTATTTTTAGAAAAGTTCATATCTCTAGTTTGTTTACAATTCTTTATAAACGAGACAGTGAACACAAAACGTGATATTGCCGATTTAATTTATTTTAAAATCTTAATTTTTTTTTGTAGGTTTGCAAACAAGAAGATGTATGTGTAAGTATCTCATTCATCATATCCAATCAAGTTCTTTCTTTTAATTCTTTAACATTAGCATTCTTTTTGGCATCGCAGGATCAGTTTTCTCTGCAACATTTGCATACTTTAACGGAACAATCACAACAATTGAAAAGCGTTTTAAAATTTCATCAACAAATTCAGCTATGATCACAACTGGAAATAATGTCAGTAGCTTAATTGTGTCATCATTCTTAGCTTATTATGCTGGAAAAGGTCATCGACCTCGATGGATTGGCTTTGGTCTTTTTACAATTACTTTATTTTGTGTGTTTTCTGTAATTCCACATTTTCTGTATGGACCTGGTGAGCAGGCACTTAAACTGACAAAGGAATATGGTGGAATCGAGAATGATACCGAGACTATGAAGATTCTTGAGAATGAAAGGAGGAAATTCATGTGCAATATTAATGGTAATTAACTCGAGTGGGAGATGCAAATCGTTTGCAAAACGTATAGTTTGATAATTGCTGTTTTCAGATACCACAGGAATTGCAGAGTGCGATGAGCATGAAGACTATTGGATCCCAATTATATTTTTATTCCTTGGTCAACTTTCTATTGGAATTGGCCAATGTGTATACAACTCTATTGGTGTTGCTTATATGGATGACAATATAAAGAAGACAAAAACTCCAGCACTGATTAGTGAGTTGACAATTATCCTGACTAGAGCTCAAAGTCGACGAAATTTTGTATGGATTCAAGATGACTCCTACATAAAAAATCGATAAAAATCTCGAGTCGACTTCGAGCTCTGATCCTGACTAATGAGATTCAATTAATTTTTGTTGTACTTAATCCAGGTGCATCTTACTTTTTGCGTTTACTAGGACCAGGTCTGGATATAATTATTTCTAATGAATAATAGTTTTAAATTGAGTTATCTGATTCTAGCCGGTGGTTATTCGCTAGCTTCATATTGCTTACAAATCTACATCGTACCAAATCTCACTCCAACAATTAATAACACTGATCCACGATGGTTAGGTGCTTGGTGGATCGGATGGATAGTACTAGCAGTTATTATGACAATATTCTCAATCATTTTGAGTTTGTTTCCCAAAGAACTTCCAAGATGTGAGTATAAATTGATTTAGAATGAAACATTGCGATTGTTTGAATGTCTTCAGATTGCGAGGCATTGGTTCCAACAAATTTGATATTCTTTGCCATTTTCAGCTTATCTCCGTCGACGAATTGACTCTGAAAAAAGAAAGCAAGGAATTGCCAGCTTTGAAAGCAATGAATTAAAAGATGAAAATCAACAAGCTTCACTTAAAGACTTTTACATCACATTTAAGAGATTGTTAAAGAACAAAACTTATATGGTCAATAATGTATCATCAATGTTTTACTTCTTTGGGTAAGAATGACAAGATCTTTTGATTCTAAAATTTAAAATTGATCAAATCTCGTTTCAGATTTGAAATTTATGTTTTATTCCTTCCAAAATATATTGAAACACAATACAAGCAGTCAGCATCAACAGCAAGGTAACATACTTTTTATTCGGTGTCTTCTCAATCAAGGATTAAAACATCAATATCAAAATATCCATTAATTAAATTTCAGTTTCTATACCGGAGCTGTCGGGATGGTTTTTTCAGCCATTGGTATCCTTGCAGCAGGGCTAGTCATCTCAAAATATAAACCAAAAGCTCGAAGGCTCGCATTATGGAACGTAATTGTTGGATTTCTTTCTGTAATTGGCATTTTAGCTTACACACAGCTTGGATGTACTGAAAATGAAAATTCTGTTGTGCTTAATGCTCCTCTACCGTGAGTGTCTAATTCTAATTTTTAAAGCGACTTACTATCCTTAATCTAATCCTCAGAGACATGCTCGATCCAACATGCAACTCAAATTGTAACTGCGACTATGTCAAATACTCACCAGTTTGTGGTGCAGATAATAAAATTTACATCAGTCCGTGTCATGCAGGATGTAAATCATATCATAAAGATAATGGCACAAAAGTAATAATTTTTTGATAAAATTTTATGAGAATTTTGTAATTTTGATGAAATGTTTTTCAGTTCTTCACAGACTGCTCGTGCATTGACAGAACATTTGGATATGACTTTGAGAATATCTCGTTACCAATTAGTGTCACAGAAGAGTATGATGAGACATTGAGGAATAGATTTGACAGAGCTAATGTAAGTATTGATGGATCATTGAATTTATTGCATTTAATTAATAGTAAATAATTTCAGAATTACATATTTAAAGGCTCAGCAGAAGATAAAACGTGTTCAATAAATTGCCAAAGTGAATTTGTGTTATTCCTAGCGATAACGTGCTTCCTGAAATTTGCAGAAGCAACCGGAAGAGCAAGTAACTTTTTAGTTGGAATGCGATGTATTGAAGAACGAGACAAGTCATTGGCATTAGGCTTCAGTTTTGCATTCTTTGCACTATTCTCCTTCTTGCCTAGTCCTGTCTTCTATGGAGCATTAATTGACATGGCGTGTGTTATTTGGGGAAAGACATGCACTGGAACTGGAAATTGTTGGCTGTATGACACAGAATGGTTGAGGTTAGTTGTAAGATTTAAGGAAAATTTAAGTTTTATGACAAATTAATTTTAGGTCCTGGTTGAACTCTATTGCATGTGGATTTGTGCTGGTTGGAGTTCTGTTTGATATTGGCGTTTGGTATTTGGTGAAAGACTTGAAAATATTTGATGGTGAAAGTACGGATGTGGAAATGAAGACAAATGAAAACTGAGATGGTTGATAAGTTGGGTCGAAAATAAAATTTACAATAATTAAATTCATTCTTTTATTTTTCATGCCAAAAATACATTGGAATTTCACCACACGACACACAGTAGCTGCATACGTTATTTTAATTTTCAAAATTAAACTTCGCATCATGCGGGTATAAATGCGAGATTCGAAATGCTTGCATGGATTCATGAATTGGATAAAAAGTTGAAAACGAAACGAAAAGGATCTGAATGTGTCTTGGCTTATTCTCTAGTTTTGAATCTTGAAATTCTCTATATTTAAAGAAATAATTGGTCCGCTTTTGTTTTAAAAATTGAACTGAATTTTTATGCAATAACTTAAGATGTAATCATTTATGAGGGAGAGGAGGAACCCATCGGAATATTTCCTTTTTATATGGAACTCCCCTTCATCGCTAGACACTCCTTCCTATCCAAAAAAGGATCTTTTGCTCAAATTTTAATTATTCAAGTAAAGTCTAACGGTTTTCTTGTCTTCGAATCTTGTACAATGTTACTTTACAATATGTAACTTGCACGCAATAATTGCCTTCAACATAGCACTTCCAACTTGAATTCCAAACCATTTAAATTTTCTTTAACAAGCATTTTAAATTTAACTTTCATCAATCAGTAGACATTATTGTGTCTGAACATTTTAAGGATTCCACAACCATTATCATTTATGCACACATTCGTCAAAATTAACTCATTAAAAATTCTGCATAATAATAAAATCAATAGAGTCTGAGTTCATTGTGCATAACAATTTTGATGATGACGAAAAAAAAACTTTTTTGTTAATAATTGGGTTAATTAAAATTAAATTTATGTTAATTAATTGCATTGATTGATTTCATCCTTCACTCAATGAGCAGGCAGAAGTGTTGAGTTTCATGAGGAGGGTCTTGGGGGTAGTAGTCTTTTGTGAGGGGTCCTGTTTAATCATAGATACCAATTGAGTATACCTTTGAGTAGATCGTTGCAATAAAAGGACATATTACCAATCAGGGGTGTAGCCAGGAATTTAATGAGGGCAGGACAAAAATGTTTTATATTGAAAATTTATATTGAAATAGCAAAATAAAAGAAATTTCTGTTGACTTAAAGGGATTTATCATTCCAATCCCCCCCCCCCCCCCCCCCCCCTTCGGCTACGCACCTGCAACTAGTTTAAACTCAAGAAATCAGCCGCTGGCTTCATCAATCGACTTCCCCACTTCCTTGCCATCATGTTAAAAAAAAGTTGTGCCATTTATGACTTAATTATTCATAAATAACTAAAATGCTCAACTTTAACATCATTTTGACACTGTCACACAGAATGGTCCTCAAAGCAATGATGAGGTAAATTGCTGTAGATAAAATAAAATAACATTAATTGTAGTTGCCTCTTAGTGCATTACTATACACCATCTGAACGGAGTAAGTGAGACAGAGACAATATGAATGAAATTGAATTATGATATTTCACATTTCCTTAAGCACAAAATTACTCTTGGGGAGTGTGCAGAATGGCAACATCATCATTACTCTTCTTCATATTCGCTCTCGTTATATGCGAGTGAGATGAAAAAAAAAATAGTTTGCAGGAAATTCATGCAACAATAAAAGAGTGAAATGGCAGAAATTATTTTTTTTTGTAACAAAACAGCACCCGAGTTATGACAGTAAAAATTTTTTGTGTCAACATTTATTTCTGTTTCCTTCTGCTGCTCATTTTCTGCTGGAGTTATTATTATAGGGATGTCAATTAGATACATAGGTTTTTACTATTTTTACTCTCTCGGAAATGATTTGGAAGAATTTATGAGGTGGAAAAAAATGTGGAGTCATTGTGGATTTTCTTTGAATTTAGGGAGGCTCTAGTATTGAGATTTTGCTAATTTTCAAGGATGATTTATTATTGTTTGGGATATTTGATAGCTTAAGAGTTGCTGCTAGTGCATTGTTAGCTTATTATTTCGATAAGTTGAAGGTTTGGAGAATGTATGATTTTAAGAAGGTGTCTCGGTCCAGACATTCCCCCTCTCACAAAAAAATGAAAATGATAATAAAAGTGAGAGTAAAATCAACCTTATGACACTAATTTTTGGACACATGATCAAGAGTCATTCATAATTGACGTCCTTAAACAGCTCAGATTTTCAGACTGACTCTCCTTTCTCTGTCAGAAGTGATCCCCAGAATTAGTCCTTATCGTCCAAAATAGTTTAGACATGATTAACGAGCGACTCCCTCCTCCTTAAATCAATAATCATCACCATCTTAAGTAATACTCAAAAGCATAAAACCACTTCTTTTAAATCCCGATTTCAGTACCATAAGCATTTGTGACATCCCTAAATGAACATGATTGTTGTTGCTCCAACTCCAACTATAGCTCATTCTTATTACATTACTTCCTTTTCTCTCTCGTCTCTTATACTTTTCTGTGTATATACGTATATGAGATGGAATCAAAGTGCAAGTTTTAACAGATAATTAATCTTGGCATAATTTTATTACAGGGCTTTTAGTACAAATTTGCGGGAGTGAGGAAAAGGCGACGACTAAGAACGAAAATGGATTTTAAATCTTGAAAATTAAATAAATTTTCTATGTAAATGCTTTATGCATTATGCCACTTGCTTTATGTCTCCCTTCTTTTTTTTAAAACTGTCTACATTGTTCATTCTCAATTCCTCTTCTTTATTTGCTTCCATGATGCCGAGCATAGGAAATGACTGAAAAAGAATAATAAAAAATTCTCCTGGCTGCCTTAAATTATTTCATGCATGCCATGGCAAGTGAAATGTGAGCAGTTAAAAAAACTTTTGAGTTTATTTTTTCTTCTTTTTCATATCCAAATTTCAGTCGTTATTTATGTCAGAAAGCATGTAAGTCATAATGCATGTGAGACTTCATGTGGCTGTCAAACTTTTCCGTTTCAGAACCGCTAACATTTCCCGACATTAACCCCTTAAATCAAAGTCTATCAAAATTGTGACTTTTTTTTGCTTCTCCACATTCTATAATGGTTGATGGTTTTTATTGCTGTGCTGCTTTTATTTTCATTACTTTGCCGTTATTTTGATTACATTTAATGGAAATAAAATTTAATTAACATAAAAGGGATTAAGGGTTTCTCGACCAGATCAGATATTCAATTTGAATTTTTTAAATTTTTTGATGCGAATAAAAAACTTTTTTCATTGTTATTTTACTTTTGGGCTGTTGCGAGTGCTTCGGATGGATTATTTGACATAAAAAAATGTTGATACTTTTTAATTTTTTTGAAAGTTAATTATGAGAGACAACGGTTGTCAGCCAGGACAGTTCTAGCTTGGAAAGGAGATTAAATTTTAATTAGAATGTGAAATCCCCAAGATATTTCTGCTCTAAACAAGCCATAAAATTATTTTAATGCACAACAGTTGCTCGCCATATAAAATTAACAAACACAACAGTTGCTTGCCATATATCCTTGCGTCATTTAAAATAATACGATATAACAGTTGCTTGTCATACGCAATTAACCTTCGCAACAGTTGCTCGCCATATAAAATTAGCCTAGACAATAGTTGCTTGCCATATAAAATTAACTTCCGCAACAGTTGCTCGCCATATAACCTTTTTCTCGCACAAAAATTATTCGACATACAAAATCTCATAATCATTTAAATGCATTCGAAAAACACAAAAACAAATAATCAATCCTCATAATTCAAATTCCAAAATATCCATCACAACCGCATTCAATTCATTCACAATATTTCATTCCACAACTGTTCATTGTTACACCTTTAAATTATTTTCGAATTTACTCTAGCACACACATCCTGCTATACAAAATCGACCATTGTTTGTTCAATTACCGTGATAACTTGAAAATCGCGCATTTGCTGCCATAAGTGCCATTTTTCAAACGCTCATATCAACCCGATAAATTTTATCCACTGATGTTACATCGGAGCAAAAAAAAAGGCTTTTACAACAAAAAAAAAATGCTTTTTTATCTCACATGTGTGAGTATGTTTGTGTCACTTACATGGATGTGCGTGATTGTCTGGTTTATTTATTGAATTTTTTTAACACAAAATTCCTCTCAATCCACAGCACTAAATTATAATTTTTTTGTGCTGTTTGTTTCACTTAAAAGTGTTTTCGGGCAGAATTTCATGCTCTCATTGAGGATTGAAATGATGGCAAAAAAAAAGAGGATATTTACTCGGCAGCAACATCATCAGCCCGACAAACTGAAATAAATGCACGTGTAAAGAGTGTGAGTGCATGAATGAAAAACTGTTGACATACGATTATTTACACTTTTTATTCCTGTGAATCGTTTTAGGTTCCAACTCGTTTTGGGGTTTGTGATGTCTCTGCTGTTGTCTGCTAGATGTACTTTTCGTGATATGCACGCATGCAAATTTGTTTATTTCCACATGAGGAAATGAAAGTCACCATGGAGATCGAATGATTCTGACTAAATTCTCGTTTTGTGTACAGTTTTGAAATGAAACCGGGAAAGAATAAGCAAATGGGAATGATTTTAAGAATTTATGAACTTCCATACGACTTACTTTAAAAATTATTTGATGATTTTGTTCTGGATCGTTAAGTGATTTGGTTAAACGGTCTAATGCATTCGATTAATGTTGCATGACGCACTAGGAGGGGATAGAATATTGATGTTATTATTGAGGCCATAGATTTTTGTGTTTCGTGAAATTTTAAAGATCATAACTCTTAGGCTGTAATGTATAAGGTAGTATATTAGGTGTGGTTGCTTCAAGATAATGATTTAGAAGACTGACAGGGTGTAGCTAAATATTGAGATCGTCAGATGCTGTATAGGGTTCATATACTGAATTATAATAATGATTAAGTCATAGCTAGCAATAGAACCAGCTTGGGATGACATCTGAGGAAGGTAATCGAGAGAATGCTAAGAACAAAGTTGCAACATGTAGCTTAAAGCTCTCAAGAGTGGCAAAAGCAGTCACACAACCACAGA